AAATTTTCTAGGGAAAGAATAAATTTTGAATAAGATCTAGAGAGAATGACGTTTTCATCTTCTTACATGATGTAACTAAATAGTGTTCTGGTGGGAAGAAGCTGGTTTTGAGTTACTTTATGCATGTACTAGAAAAAAAAAACTTTTCTGGGTCTCTTCTCAGTTGGTCTTTTCAAGTTACAGTGATTCTTAATGGAGGAGTTGCAGGCCAGCAATCCAATTTAGGAATGAGAAAAGTGATTTCATCAGATGAGGGTTGAAAGTCATAAACCTGAGAAACGAGAAGATGTTTAAAAAGATTCTGAAGTGCACATCTCTACATTCACGATATTGAAATTAAAGCTTCTGGAGTACCTTAACGTTATGTAAGAGGTTGCCACAGCTTAATGTTATGTCAGATTAATTTACTCAGTTAAGCCATCCTTCTTTAAAACTGACAGGATGATGCAATTCAATTTCTTTCTGGACTTGTGCTACGGAATAATAGGAAGCCACCAGAGGAGTCACTTGATGACACAGAAAGAAGTCTTATCAGCAAAACCCTAGCCTGAGGAGTTACCTACAGAATAAATAACTGTGTAGCAAACACACAGGCCAAAACAAACATAGGGCAAACAAAGTAATGGCAGGAATGTTTATAAGGATGCTGAACTAGACTAGAAAAGTGATTTCTGAGCAAGAAAACTGCTTTTGGTTGCTAGTTTGTGTGGCACTCAGGGGAAAAGGTCTTCAAGAATATTCTTATAAATAAGCATCACTGTTCTATCAGCCAGTTCTCTTTCAAAGAAAACAACTTGGTTCTCCATATGATTGCCTGAGTAGGCCAAAGGACAACACCGTTATTTTTGTGACTGATACAGGTATGTGTTACTTATGTCACTACATTGCTAAAACCAGTCCTGATGTGAGCATGCAGTTATGTCATATGATCTGCTGGCTCATAAAAATGGAGTCTGTAGGCACTATGAACAGCAGGGCATACTTACAGATGTCCAAAATCCAAGCCAAGCCAATTGTTTGGACTATCAATTCTAGATTTTAGTGTTTTTAAACTTTTTAATTGGAGAAGGACTCTTTCAGATACCAAAAGAATATCAAAACAGGAAAATCCTCCGGTACCGCCAGTAGCAGAAATCTGTCATGGCAGCCAACAAATCTTCAGTATACGTATGTTTGCATTGTAAGAATCTTCAGTATACGTATGTTTGCATTGTAAGAAGCTAGATCAGCATGTCTTTAATTTCTATTCGTTCAAATTGTCCTCCTGCAGCCCTGGAAGCACATTTCTCAGCTGCGATATGTTCAGAATGCAGCTCACAGAGAACATCTTGCATGCATTTCAGAGTGATGGGTCATTCCCTTCCCCCAAGCATTTATATTGTGCATTTCAACAGCTTGCTCCTTGAATCACACCACAGAGAAGAGTGGAAAGGAAACATTTCACCTGAAGAAATGCTGAACAGAAATTAATAAAAACAACCATAAAATTATATGGCAATTTGGATATTAGAATAAAGCTAAGATACTTATTCTCAACAGCACAAGGATAAAATGGGTGATTGTCATGGCAGAGTGTCTAACAAGAGATCTACAATTACACATGGGGAGAATTCCCAAGGACCCCAGAGATCAAACAGTGTGCCTGTATTTCTACTCTATAAAATACAGTTCAATCTCATTTTCTTGGTTTTTTGTTTTTTGTTTTTTGTTTTTTTTTCCCCATGAAGTGGCTACGCAAAACCTAAATTTCATTGAAACTAAGAATGGTTTTATAAAGTTAGTTTTATAAATAAGCATATCTCCCATTTGCAAAGGACATGGCATTACTTTTCAGTAACCAAATCAACTATTTCTAGTGTAACCCATGCACTATTGAAATTATCAGTAGAATGAATGCCAGTTTAGCAGTTGGTACAAGTAAAAATATGGCAGAGAATCTGTACATGAATCAAGCTTAAATGTTACTCACATCCAAGAACATTAACATGGCAACCTGTAAAGCTCATAAAAGACGATGGGAGAAGACATGATTGCAAATGTGATTCAGAAGTGCACAGCCTATAAATATATGCCTGGGTTGCTATGGTAGTTTTAGTTTTGGTTTTGGTGACTCAGGATTATGCAGTATTAAAAGTAACCCACCTTGACATTTCTGTGTAAGAACACTGCTCTGAACCGAAAAAAAAAAAAAAAAACCAGAGTAAGAATTTTTCTTCTTACATAATTTACATTAAAATTTTGGTAGCACTTTGTGCATAGTCTTTCCATCTCTTTTTTCTGGAAAAGGAATGTATTGGAGATTTCACTGTTTCTTGTGTGGGTTTGCCACACAATTAGAGAAGAGAATGCAACATATTTAAAAATAGAAATGAATATGACTGTCAAATTTAAAATATGAAAGAAATGTCTTTTTCTTTTGATAAGTATCTCCATTATGTTTCCATGTTGAAAATGGGTTTTATATTTTTGTATCCCATTTCTCCTTTTAAACTCTATGATTCTTTATAGAAACCATGGAGAATAGAGAGTTTTATGTCAATATATACAGTATTTGCCACTACCTCTTCAAAATATCCATTTTTCCCAGAGCTAGAATTGATGAAACTAACCTTGATATATTGGTTTTCTTCACTGGAGAGTGAAAAACATTAGGACAAAATTTTTAGAAGCCACAATGTGTCAGATTTCTGTTGCTGATGAAAAGATGGAAGACAAGACAACAATTATCCTTAAGAGGTTGAAAGAGAAATCCTCTGTTCCAGAAAATGTCTATTTTGAGTAGCGCAAAAACTTCATCTGTATACTTCTGTGGTACAGAAACTTGCATGAATTAGCTTGCAATGATTGCAATGCTTGTAAGAATGATAAAATAAATACCTAATTGTTGGGAGTCATGTGGATTGGGCCAGGCTCTTTGCAGGGTTGCAAGGTGAGAGGACAAAGGGTCCCAAACGGGAACACAGGGAGTTCCATACAAATGTGAGGAAAACTTCTTGACTGCGGGGGTGACAGAACACTGGAAGAAGCTGCCCAGAAAGGTTGTGGAGTCTCCTTCTCTGGGGATTTTCAAAACTCATCTGGATGCTTTCCTGTGTAACCTACTGTTATTGCTTGAGGAATGAAAGAGGTTCGATGATCAAATAGAAAAAGCTGAGCTAGAGGAATGAAGTCAAGGAGAGGTGACTGGAGACCTAAAATAAGTGCTCCATACCAATGAAATTCCTCAGAGGGCATTTCAAACAAGTACCTATCAACTTGCCTAGAATTACTTTACTGCCAGTACAGCTCTTGATTTAAATCTTGCTGAAATCACTGTATTGCATTCTGTAGGTATGCAGGTTCTTTGAAGAGTCAAATTTTCACACAGCCAATTGAGAGGGAAAGAAAGAAGTAAAGTATTGGGGAGAGTATATTTAAATTATTGGAGACATCTGGGGACAGAGGATGTTCTTTCCTGAGATTACCTTTCTCTGAGAAAGTAGTATAATTTGCAAACGTCACTGGATTGAGAGTCCATCCCCAAGGAAAAGTACCAAAGAGGACAAGACTGCAGTATGCAGCTGGATCCTGCACAGATCCTCACCTTAGATGTGAGTCAGTAGATGCTAAGTCAGTAGCTAAGCTGTAGGCTGGTAAATGTGTGTATTGGGCACAGTTCAATTAACCGTGTGAGTAATAAATGCTACGATGACCACTTCTGAAGTGGATTGTGCACAATCAGCCGTACTTCAGATCCATGAACCTAAGCTGTATCTCTGAGTAGACACATGGGTCATCAATTGGAACGTATTAATTAGATCCTGGGTTTTTGTTGACATATTTGGATAGCAAACCTCTCTTTGGCAAATCTTTCATCTTGCCTACCAGGTGCCGTCTTTCAAATACCCACAGTTTACATCTGTACATTTTCAGTGGGCTGCGCGTCATGCGCTGCTCTGTGAGTACATCTGATGGGTGCTATGCAAATAGTTCCAGGTGAAAACCTGCTCTGAAGGGCGTTAGTGAGAACACACTGCTGCAGGTACGCAACCTTCTGACCGCCGCTTCTTGGGCAACGCCACCAACATTTTTAGTGATTGAAATAAGAAGCCTGAGCTGGCTGAGAGACTGTAATAAAAGGAGAGATTATAGGAAAGAACAAACCACACAAAATTTGATGAGTATGAGGTTTGGTGACCCTCTCAAACTATACTTTGTTTCCTATAATTAGTTGAAATGAAAACTTCTTTTCCAGTAAGCTTAAAGCCACGTTTTACCCCCTGAGATTATTCAATATAGAAGAAAACGTACGTTGTTTATAGCTAAAGAGAACATGCTATGCACAGGGAAAGAAATTAACAGCCCATCACAGCTTGGTTCCTAGAAGGAGCAACTCTGAGCACAATGTTTGCGTCTTCAAAGGCTGCGTGCGCTGAAATTCCTTCTCTCCCAACAGAAACAGGGCGCACTGCTCCAGATTTACAGGCAATAAAAGTGAAGCATAACAGAAACCAGCGCAGCAGCACCGGGTTCTGTGAGCGCAGGGGTTTGCGCACAGACAGCGCGGGGCACGGCTGCTTTGACGCCAGACTGCCCAAACGCGGGCACGCTCAACTTTCCCAAGCAGGGCATCCTCAGCGCGTCTTCTTCTCGGGGCGGCTGCGGTCGCTCTGCTAGCAGAGGCGCAAGCGAAGGAAGACGCGAAGAGGGAAGCGGCACGCCTGCAGTCTCGCTTTGCTTGCCGAGGCCCGCACCGGGTGCCCTAACCGAACCGCTGACCCCTCCGGCTGAACTCTTGAACCCGCGGTCCGCGCAAAGGCCAACCGCGCCTCGGCGCGGCCCCGGCCCGGCCCCGCCACCGCCCCCGTCCGCCCGTGACGTCACGAGCCAACGGCCACACCTCGCCCACCCCGCGCCCCCGCCCTCCTTCCTCGGGCTCCGCCCCGCCGGGAAATCTCGCGGGATTATGCTAAGGAGCCGCCGCCGCCGCCCCGCCCCCAGGCTCCCTCCCGCCCTGCGCTTCCATCTGGGTGGGTGCGCGAGCGAGGGCGAGCGCGGGCCGCGGTGCGCTGTGGGATACGGCGGTATATAGTCTATCCTCGGCGCGGCGCGGCGACAGCGAGGGGGTCAGGCGGGAGCGGGGCATGAAGATGGCGGACGCCAAGCAGAAGCGGAACGAGCAGCTGAAGCGCTGGATCGGCTCCGAGACCGACCTGGAGCCGCCCGTGGTCAAGCGCAAAAAGACCAAGGTGAAGTTCGACGACGGCGCCGTCTTCCTGGCCGCCTGCTCCAGCGGGGACACGGAGGAGGTGCTGCGGCTGCTGGAGCGCGGCGCCGACATCAACTACGCCAATGTGGACGGGCTCACCGCGCTCCACCAGGTCGGTGCGGTCGGGCGGGCAGGGCCGGGGGCGAGGCCTGCGGGGCGTCCCCGTGGGAAGCGGCCGCAGGGGAAGGGGCCGGCGGCGGCGGCTCTCCCCTCCGCTGGGGGGTGTCGGGGCGGGGAGGGGCCGCGGGGCGGGAGGCGGCGGGGAGCGGGGTCGGGCCCGGGGGCGGCGGGGGAGTGGCCGTGCGGCGGGGCCTCCGCTCCGGAGCCTCCGGGAGGGCGAGAGGCCGGTTCCCCTCCCCGCTGCGGGGCCCTCCGGGAGTTAACCCCGCCGGGGTCGGCGTGCGGGCGCCGCCCGAGCCCCCCGGGAGCTCCCGGGGCAGGGCCGCAGGTGAGGGGAGGCGCTCGGCGGGGTCGCTTCCCGCTGCCGCCGCTCCCCGCGGCGGTTTCCGGCTTCCTCCGTCCGTCCGGAGGTTCGGCTGCGCTCGGGCTGATGAAAGCCCTCTCCTCCGTGCGCGGGGAGAGCCGGGCCGTCCGCCGCCAGCCCGTTTCCTAGGGGAAACTCGCGATTTGTGCCTAATAGAGAAACGCGTGTCGATAACAGCCCGCTTCTCTCCCGAGCGATGGCTTCTGCCGCAGTGTGCGAGCTGAAGTTGAAGGGGAGCGGGGCTTTTACAGCCTTCCTCCGCGTGTCGGAGAGCAGTGCGACGAAGCCGAGTGGCTTTGTTCGGGCGTGGGTGTGTGGCCGGGGCTGCTGCTGCCCAGGGGGAGCTTCACTCGGGGCAGGGGGACAGCGGGGAGACGGGCTGTGAAGTTTCCTCAAAATGGATGCTTTGTGCACGCTGAACTTCATAGCAGTCTGATTGGAATCTCAAAACGTTAGCCAAATAAGGAAAGGCTGTGGCAATCCGGAGATAATGCGGGTTTGCCTGAATAGTTCTTCTTTTTCTAGAAGGCCAAAAGCTTCCCAACAGTATTAAATTCCCTGGATAGCTAAGAAGTAAAAAATACATAGACTATACGTATGTATCTTTGATGGGCCAGGTTATCATTCTGAAGTTTAGAACTTGTTTGGTAGTATGAGGGGAGGAAAAAGATTGAGGTGTGGGTTGACCAAGTTGCAGTCTTCCCAGAATGGTCAAGTGAGGTAATTGGGACACTGTTATATTGCCCTGTTCTTAAACAAAAATGAGGTGGTGAACTCAATGGGTGTTATCCTACCCACATGGACATCCGGGGATGTGAATTTCTACAAATATAAGTTGCTCCTTAGAAATAAAGAATAGAATTCAATTCTGAATATAAGATACAAAATCTCGCTGCTTTTTGCTGTGTTTCCTGTGTGTGTCATCACTTGTTTGGCAGCGTGAGGTTTGCTTTCAATTGTGAACTCAACTGGAAGAATGACTGCGCTGTGGTTAAGGCTGTCAGAGTGTTAGTGCAGCAGGCTTACCTGACTTGAGGCTACCCTGTTGCTCACTAGCCTGGTTTTGTGCATTTATTCTTCTCTAATCAGGTTATGATTGCTTTGTGCTTGAAGGGAGCTCAGTATTAGAAGTCATTCCTTAACTGGTTAGATCATTGGATCTGCAAGTCACCGACTGCGCACCAGCGATTGGTGGGCAGGGATGATGTCTGACTCGACTCCCTGAGAATGAGAGGTGAATGATGTTGTTTTTCTCCATGAAGTATAAATAGCGTTTTCAAAGTGATTTTGACGTTATGTATGGCAAAGCCTGCACCGGAATTGCTCTACTGTTACTCTGCCTGTCTTTTTACCTGTAGATGGTTTGCGGTTTGAAAGGGCAAAGTCTAATAGAATAAAGACTTACACTGCTAAAACTCTGCTTGCTCTCCTCTACTCTCTTGTAGTGATGCCAGAGAGCTTTTTCTGGTCTTACAATATTAAAAGCAAATAAGAAGATCAGTTGTGAGATGATAATCCTCTTGAGGCAGCCCAGGCATCTTATGGTTTGTGTGCTTTCCTTTGTTGTGGTTTTTGTTGTTCTCGTTTTTGTTTGTTCTGTTTTCATTTTTCTTAAAGATAACGAGGGAGGATAGCAAAATAACAAACCTCTTCCCATGACTGCTTTGTTTTTTCATTATTATCAGGATTTTTAATATGTTATATGAAAGGTGCACATCGTGCAGTTTGCTGTCCGTAACACGGTTTCATTTAATCCGATTTGGTTTTGGAATAAAACAAAGCTGTATCTGTTCCCAAGGGATACTCTTCAAAAACTTATCACTTGTCCTGACAGTTCTGACTAACATCAATAGTGTTGAAGTCCATTTTGTTGAAAACTGCTGTCCTCACTGTTGCGTTGCTGCTGGTTGTTGTTGTTGTCAATTTCCTTGTACATTGTATTGCTTTACAGGAATGAATTTGTTAGCGGGGAGAGAGCCACCCTACCTTCTTTGGATATGGTTTAGTTTTGATATATATATATATATATTTTTGCAGTTATTGAGGGCAAATTCATAGAATTATGGAATGGCTTAGGTTGGAAGGGACCTTAAAGATCATCTAGCTCCAGTGCTCACGTTCTGTGTCTGAATGTTTAATTCTGTTGCTGTTCAGCCTTTATTCTTCTTGTAACTTCCATATCTAACTGGAAAGGGCTTAAACTGTGTCTTTTTGTTGTTGTCTCCACAGCCTGAGTGGTTGGAGTTGCTGAAGGAAGAAGTACTATTAATACTGAAATTCAGATCTGATCCTTATTGGAGCATCACGTTTTGTTACTAAAGCAATTAGCTGGACTTCTCCCATTTCAGTGGGGTAGGATATCAGAAAGCTTTATGTAGGTCTGTTTCCGTTAACGTGTACAGGGGGAAGAAATTCCTGTTGGCTTGGTTGCTTGTGAGGAATGGGAAGAGCATGTGTAGCTTCTTCTTTCATCTCTTCTCATTGCCACTGTGTAATCTTGTATGCTTTGCTGTGCAGAGACAAATGGACTTAGTACATTATGTTTGAGGGTATATGTTAAATTTGAGCTTAAAAAAATAAATCTCACAGAACTGAGGGACAAACTTATTATTAGATGATGATTATTCCTGTATGTTGTGTTGGATTCAGATTTCATTATCTTCCTTTAAGAACTTTTTTCAGCATATGTTCAGGTTAGACATCCAGCATTAAGGATGAATCTGGGTACATAACTTAACCATTTATAGGAGAATGTATATAATGTAGGATATTGCAGGAAGATATTCTTACACATTCTATTACAATATCTTATGTGCACGCATGTATCTAACATGTCTGGAAGACCAGAAAACCTATCTGTAAATTTAAGTTCTAAATTCACGTTGGAAGTCTGTTTAATAAACTTGGTTTTTAAGTGGATAATGTTCATAATACTATGTTTCCTGACAGTTGTCATACAGGGTGATATCCAGCATACAGATAGTGCAGCCTTTCTTATCTGCCAGAACAGTTGAACTGGAGAAAAAAGGCCCGAAGGTGAGCTGTGATCTCACAAGCTAATTGTTTCTGCAGAGAAGGGAAATGTGGCATATTCTGAAACAAGAAGAGACTGCATGGTTTTCAGTAAAACCTAGTCCCTTCTAGGGCATACATACGTATTTATTAAGAATGGGATTCAGTTCTATCCTTAAAGGCCAAGCACCTGTCTTTCCTCAAAGCATTTGGATTCTCTCCTGTTCTCATTTCTTGTCCTCTGTGAAAGAGGACTGACTTGCTGGCTCATACTGCTTAAGTGAGTGAAAACAGTTTAGACAGAAATTGCACAGAGCTTGTGCAGGAAGGAGGAGCGCAGCCTTTCTGAGCAGCAGCAGGAGAGGGCTGCATGTGCTGGGGAGAGCCTGAAATGTGAGTGGGTTCCTGGATTTCATGCATGTGCCTCTCCCCTGGGAGCGTGGGTGTGTGCTGTGGAGTACCTGCCTGCTCCTGAGAAAGAAGGCAGCTGCACTTAGGTATGCATGTATGACAACTTAGGCAGCTTTCTTTTTGGCTACCCTTTTCCTTTGTGGCAACTCAGATTCAGTAGGCGATAGCTTGGTTTTTGGACTTTGGGGAGGAAGATGACTACTACAATCTCATACCATCGTGAGGCATGGAAGGTGTCTTGCTGTGCTGCTGCTCTTCCCTGCCTGGGAGGGTGCTGTGCCTGGAAGAGTGGTGTTGTCCTGGCTGTGCACGGGTATCACCGAGTGTGCCAGGTACTGTCAGTGGTGAGGGCTGAACAAGAAGGCTGCCTAACCCATAACGAAGAATTTGTCCTCAACGTGAAGGAGCACACAAGTACTGCTTAATTGAGCAGTTTCCCAAAGACTATTCCTTCTTTCTATTGTGAATATCAGTGTTTTCCAGCAACTCTCAACGTAATAAATAAATGCATGAAATTGACTGTTTGGTCCACTTTATAGCAGTTTACGGATATGCAGTATGCAATGCTAAACGTATGTTTTTAGTTGATGCCATTGATAACGGTAGTCTGCATTTGTCCATCAGTACTAATGAAGATGCTGAGAAACAATTTGAAAGTGTTTCGTGGAATGCTTACTAATGCTTACTAATTCTTACTAACCAGTGAAGGACAATTTCTGCTGTCCGTCAGTCCTGTGCTTGGGTTTTACTTCTTAGGTGGTTCTTCCATGAGGGGAACTTCTTCAGTATTTTAAATGAAAAATTCTGTCAGGGCTCCTGGTGGTATGGTCATAGTTACCTGAGTATGGTAATAGGTACAGTAGGCAGCAACTATCACCTTTGTTATGATCAGTTTTCCAACAGGAGGTGAAAAAGGATTGTTTTACCTGCTCTGGATTCCATTGCCTTAGGACTAGATAGAGGGCATTAAGACAGTACTGTGGGGATCCTTTTTGACAAGTGATAACACAGGTCATATATTTGTGCTGAGGCCACAGCATGCAGAGCATGTAAAGTCATAAGAGCAAAGAACAGGTTGCTACAGTCTTAAATCTCCAGGGTGTTTGCATCATAGCAGCAGCACCCAAGGATAAGGAAGGCATGGAAATAGTTTGAAGCTATCTTGGTAACTTCCCAGCTATGACTTCTGCACTGCTTCCTTTGGG